GCGCGCTCAACCCACTCTGCGTGCTTTGTTTATCAGCTCGCGCACATCAGCTATACAGGCGTTAATACTGAATGTTTAACGTTATATTCATTGCATACATATACTTCGTTCTAGACATCCTTAACTCCATTCTGCTGTTCTGTTGTCGGTGTTTCTTTGTCTGAATATGGCACTTATCACATGCTGTGTGGTATCGGCGTTTGGTATCAGGACATTTTAACGAGTACGAGTACAGGAGCTCAGTATCGGGCCCGATACCAGAATCGGTATCGGTGCATCCCTAATAAAAACATTCAGTATAAATGCACACATGCTACTGCACTGCTTAGAGCTCGCGTGAGCGAGTAAACGCATCTGCTCTAGTGAGCTCGCGCCAATGAGTCGCGCTGTTTCGTTCCGCTTTTGGCGCATAAATGTTATATCGAACCTTTATCGAACTCTTCATATCGTTTTAGCGAGGAAAATTATATCGCGATAATTATCGTTATCGAATTATCACCCAGCCCTCATCTTGATTTGAAGAAAGTTTAGATATTTGTACCTGGGAAAAAGAAAATGTAGATATTTGTAAACAAGACAAAAATAATAAGCAAGAACTGACGCACCTCTCTTGAATTTCCTACAGATAATCTTTACATCAACAACCAGAATGGTTTCTACTACCATTCCCAGACCAGTCTGGACCGCTCTCCGCACGAGTACAACGGCCGGATCCGTAACGGCAGCGTTTACAGCGCCCAGAGCACCAGCTCCCTCAACAACCCGCAGCACTACCTGCAGCCGTCGCCCATGTCGTCCAACCCCAGCATCACAGGAAGTGACCTCATGCGACCCGACTACGTGCCTTCCCACCGGCACAGCGCCCTGATCCCGCCGTCCTACCGCGCCACGCCCGATTACGAGACGGTCATGATGCAGAAGAACCTCGGGATGATCCCGCCGGCCGAGCGCCAGAGCCACTCCATGAGGAACCTCAACATCGGCAACTCGTACGCCTACAGCCGGCCCGACCCACTCGTGTACAGCCAGCCGGAGATTCGCGAGCACGGCGCGGGCCAGTACCCCTTCCACCTCAACTACAGCTTCCACAGCCCCTCCCCGTACCCCTATCCCACCGAGAGACGACCCGTCGTGGGCGCCGTCAGCGTCCCCGAGCTCACCAACGTCCAGCTCCAGCAGGCGCAGGAATATCCGCCGCCCAACATCATCAGGAATCAGGTTTATTGGCCGCCGCCGCCGTATCCCTACCCTCACCCTCGACCCGCCAACAGCACCCCGGACTTGTCCCGCCATCTCTACGTCAGCAGCAGCAACCCGGATCTGATCACGCGCCGCGTCCATCACTCGGTGCAGACCTTCCAGGAGGACAGCCTGCCTGTGGCGCACTCGCTGCAGGAAGTGAGCGAACCGCTCGTCACGATCCGGCGGCCTCACATGCACAAGCGCAACTCCATCGAGATCGCCGGTCTGGCGTACGGCCTGGAGAACATGAGGCTGAAGGAGAGGAAGGTGAGTCGTTTCGGGATGTTAATGTGTCCTTCGGTGTAGGGGTGTGCGATATTGACAAAAAATAATATTTCAATATTTTCTGGGATTTTATCGATAACGATATACACAGTATATTTTGCTGAGTGTGTTATTGTGCTAGTATCTTAAGGACTACCGTGGAGTAGGGATGTAACGATGAACCGCGAGCCGGTTGAAAATCGATTCAAATATGTGACTATTCAAATCGGTTGAGATGCCAAACAAATCGCGATACAATTGGAGTACGAGTTTATATGAATTTATCTCTGAGGGGAACTGACTGTCTTTAGAAAAATTTACGTGGTATTTTCTTTTTATCTTGCCTCTGAACTAAAAACTGCTCATGCTGCATGTATGCTGCATCTTTGTTTGGATGATGATTAAAATGCAGTGGTTGCCTCTAATTTTAAGTAGAAAGAGCACAGACAAAGCCTTAGTTTGTTTATATGAAGAGATTTCGTTTATTTGTGTAACTTGCTTATTTGATTTGGGGTTTGTTTTAAAAATTTCAATTTAATTTTGTTATATTTCAATTTCACAAAGAAACGTGCAGCAATAGACACCTTCTCATTTACTGTATAATGTCTTCAATCCCATTTTGTTGAAAAAAAAATCTTGAGAAAATCGAATAGTGAAATCAAAATCATGAATCGAATCGTGAGTTGAGTGAATCGTTACATCCCTACCATGGAGTTTTAAGGACTTTAAGGGCTCCTAAAGTTTTTGACATCTTCATATTCTGTGTGGTGGCCAGTTCACACTGATAGAAATTAAGCTTTTCCAATCTGTTTAAATGGATTATTTACCTTTTATGGGCATTTTAACCTTTATAAAGCCATTTTTCTAAAAGTGTGCATTATCTTTTGAGTCAAATTCTTACATTTAATCAGCTAATTAGAATAATAAGATATTTGGGCTGTTACCAAGCAAATTAAATCAGTATCAACAAAATTCATCTTTGCAATAAAAAATATAAAATGTATGTTTATTTGTAACAGTTATGCTAACAACAATAAAAAGATATTTATGACGGTAAAACAGAGACATCTGCTGACGGACACCATGCTGCGTTGTCACGGGTACATGCCAGCTGAAGATAATGAGGAAATTACTTCGCTCGCTTTGCCAAGTGCATTCCAAACGACTACATAATGGCACGCACGTGCCCTGCTCACTCCAAAGTCCCAACTCTAAGAGGATGGGGATGATCACTTCCATTTGGAATTTGCCCCGTGAACCGTTCGGTACCGATACTCGTATCGGCACATCCCTAATATATATAATTAAGAATGCTTATAATTATGTAATTAATTCTTACATAATTATTAGCAATAATCTAAGATTAAAAATTACTATTTTTAAGAAAGTTTATTTATTTATTTTTTATTTATTGACATTTCTGCATCAACTACCCAGGTATCCGCATCCGCGGCTGAGACCCCGCCCCCTGTTGCCCAGGCGATGCCGCCTACAGCATCCGGCTCCGACATTAACGTCGTCCTGGAGGTTACGAAGCCCGAGGATGCAGTCATCAAGGAGGATGTCATCTATGGCCACAAAAAATCCCTGTCCGACGCCACGATGCTGGTGCATAGCAGCGGTGAGGAGGAAGAGTTCGAAGACGACAGCGGCCGACACACACCCCAGTCTCAGGATGCAGTGGGTGGGCCCGAGCATCACATGACGCCGATGGGACGGCCCCTCGTAGATCCGCCCGCTTATCCCTTCAGCCACAGTATGGAGACGGTCCTGACAGGCCCTCTGGCGTACCAGCCCCATCCCATCATCTGCAATCCAGAGGACCTGGGGCAGCTGCCGCCTCTGCGAGAGCCCGGACACATGGTGCCTTCAGTGTCAGAGGGCGATCTGAGCGGACAGGGACGCTTGAGACAGAAGAGAGACGTATTTAAGAGACCCGTCTCTGACGTGCCACCTGCCAGAAGGAATATCGATGGTCTTCCACCGGCGGTAAGTTCAGTTGAAAATCAGAACTGAATCAGAATCAGTTAGATGTGCATTTGGGAATGCAACATACAATAGGTTTAGGTGTATTTGCACATTCACATAATGTTAAAAGCTTGAGAGTTTGAACGTTTGAAAAATATAAAGACATAAATATTATTGGAAGTGTAAAATTATTATACTGTATTGTACGTGTAAAATAACATTTAATAAAAAGTATTTATAATAATAAAAATATAATTATAAAATTATTTTATATTAAACATTAGAATTGTAATTTGCAAAAGTAATATGTATTCATCATTTTTTATACATATTTTAAATAATAATAATAATTATTATTTTAAAGCTTTGAGTCCACTTTAAAGATTAATTTAAAAGATTAATAAGTTCTCTTAAAGATCAGAATTGAATTAGAATCATGAAAAATACTGAAAAACTGAAAAAAATGTAAGACAAAATATTAGACATGAATATTGTAATCTGTAGTGTAAAATAAAATTATTATAATAAATATGTTTATTAAATAAATTCTAAAATGATGGAAAAATCATTGTTTGAAGAATTTATCTTCCAGAATCTGGCAGTAAATTTTGGGAGTTCATCTTTAGTCCATCTCGAAATTTTATCTGTAAAAGAAAATCTGCTTAATTATGCACACCTGAATATAAGACATTTTTCACTTCCAGCCTTCATGAATAATTATATATTAATTATAAATGATTAAATACAAGATTAATAGTAGTTATTAAGATTGATGTCGTTTGGAATTGGTCAAATGTGCTTGGAAAAAAATATGATCAGAATATCAACTTGCATAATAATTATGCATGCACTGTATTTTTCCTCTTCTGCTGTCGAGGTAATGCAAGGAATGTTGTGATTGGTTGTCAAGGCAGCCAACCAGAATTTAGCAGCCTCGTCTCTGATTGGCTGGAATTATGGCACATTGTAACGCTGGGTTGTGTTGAGCAAGCGAGCTGTTGGCATTTAGACAGCACTGAGGGAAGCAAGCTAGTGAAACATTGCACGCGCAAAAGAGAAGGTCAGCACAAATCCAAAAACTTATTTTAAATGCAAAATTGATTTCCGTGCGCTCGAAATACTTTCTTCTTTGCGAGACAAACATTTTCTCCACAAAACTCAGTTCGCGCACGTGCAAAACGTACTTTTGTGCGCTCAAAATATGATATTTTGCGTGCAGAATTGTGGCAGAGATGTAAGCCCATACACGTTGCAGTGTCACAAGGTAACGCCTCAGACTGTTTCAAAGTGATTCTCAATCAATGAATAGCGCACCTTTATGCTAAGCTGTTGCTTATGAACTCGAGTTTGATGAATTATGACACTGTCTATGTTATGACCTTTATATAATATATTTTAGACGGTTGTAAGCATATTTTAATGCATATTTTATCACCTCATCTGAAGGAACAGCCCCGCAATAGTATAGACATTTCAAAATAAGAGTCCAGGTGTATTTCAGACTTGTTTATAATTAAAAATCACAAATTATTATTATTATTATTTTTTTTTTTTACAAAAATTGTATTTAATTTAAAATCCATTTAATTCATAGGAAACTATTGTAGTTTCTGGCTGGGATGTTTCCCCATAGGAAGAAAAGTCAAAAAACATTATTTGATGCATATTATTCAATATATAGATTTTACCCATTCACTAAGAGAGACACTACATGAAAAAGCAAGGAGAACTCTACCATTTAAATGCTGTCATTTTGCATAATTTACAATGCATAATATGAGTATGTAATTAAATGTAATAGTAGCCTATATAATTAAAATGAATTTCAATAGGCCTAAATAAAAAAATCACACATTATTTGTTATTTGTCACATGTAGTAGACCATTTTTGTGCCATGGGTAAAAGGAGGATTTTCCACCCAGCTACCACCGCAAGTATATTTCAAACCTGTGGGAAACACTGACTGTATTTAGCTAAGTTTCAATTTATTCCCTTAATATTTCTCTTGTGGCCTGTAGCCTACATTGTGGGGGAAAAAAATGTGAAGAAACGTATTTCGTGTTAAACAGGTTGTTTTTTAAAGTCTGTGCTTGAAATAAAGCTTTTTATTTCATTGACTTTTATTGATGACTGCAGTGTTAATATTTTAATTATAGGCCTATAATTCATTGCATAATAGACCTGTTTTAAAACATTTTAATTAAGAGGAGTAAATAGCCTAATCCTTTTTTTATCCTTGCAGCGTGTCAGTTATGTGGTAATTATTGCGGGGCAAATTAATTGTAATTTTAATTTAATAAAAGTAACTTCATAATAGGCCTAATAAAAATAAGAATGTAACAAGCCTACATTAATTGGAAATGCCAAATCCTCTTAATATTTTTAATAATTGATGTTTTTTACAATATCTCTGGCTATCGTCGATACAAGATCATCGTCTTTCGATGCAACCCAGCAAGGGGAGGTTTTTTGTTTACATAATATATGTTTGTGTACTGTGTATATTTATTATGTATATATAAATACACACATATACAGTATATATTAGTGGTTAAACGGATCGTAGTTGATCCGTGATCCGTACGGACCAAGCCCCACGGTTCGGCACGCATGTGATCCGCGGATTAATTGCAAAATGTAACCATAATAGAGTATAAGTTTATCATTTGTTCGTATTTACACAAGCAAGTGAATTTTAAACAATTCCAGAGAGAAAACGCGAAAGGGAACTCGATTCGTTACTTTCGCGCTGTTCTCTACGCGCACAGCCGCACACACATGAAGCGCACACACGCGTTTCAGACGGCTCGCGAACACCGAACTGAATCCTCTTCTGGATCCTCTGAACAAACACATACACATAAAATTATGACAAAATACCCATCTCGACAATCATTCAGGTAAACGCAGTCAGTTATGTCTCAAGTGAATGAAAACAGCTGAGAAAGAAATCGGATGTGATGTGTATCATTATATCGGATCCGTGCATCAGGTCTTAAAGGGACAGCGGCCTATAAATACTGCTGCTGTCATTAATGATCATCAAACTCTATATTTAGTGAACACTATGCAGTGTTATTTTCCCTAATTATTACATTTCAGTATTTGAATACTACCAATACTACCAACTTTGTAACATATTCTGTTGTATTTATCTATGCTTGTAATTTGTGTATTTGTTCTTATTTTTACTGGCTGTTCTCTTGTCTCTTTAATCATGTTTAAACTTTCTTAGTTAATCTAGTAGTATTTGCTGTGGTATCAAAGAAGTACTTCGCTTTAAGTAATAAATGGAAAGCAAGTTAAATTGAAATATTTTTCTTTTCTTGCTGATCCGAAAAATGATCCGATCCGTGGGTCAAAAACCGTAATGTGATCCGAACCGTGAGATTTGTGATCCGTTGAACCACTAATTTGTACACTACACTGTATAGCGTGAGCTACTGAGCAAGCCTACTGAGTTAGAAAACCCGTACATATGAAGCTGAATATGTGACGCTAACGTTTAGAAGTATCAGTTTTCAAATCTCGCAGCATGTTAAAATTGTTTTGAAGTCATAACAAAA